GAGATATATTTCTTATATCATAAAATTCCTACATTTAAGAGTTCCAGTGGTTTTTAGTATATTAAGAGCCATGCAACTATCATTACACTGTAATCGTAAAACACTTTTACACCTCCAAAAGAAACTCCTTATTACCTATTAGCAGTCACTCATATTTCTGCTCTTTTCCACCATAGCTAACCAATAATCTAGCTTCTTGTCTCTATGGATTAGTCTATTCTGAAATTCGCTTAAATAGAATCACATACTATTTGGCCTTTTGTGACTGGCTTCAATCAGTAAACATGTTTTTGAGGTTCATCCATGTTTTAGCATGGATCAGAACATCATTCCTTTTTACAGCAGAAAACTATTCCATTGTATGGATATATCACATTCTGTTTATCCATTCAGTAATTCATGGACGTTTAGGTTTCCATTTTTTTATTAGTATGAAAAGTACTACTATGGACTTTTGTATGTATATTTTTGTATGGGCTATAGTCATTTTTTTGTTAAATGGGTTTACTGTCCAAATTTCTAAGCATTTAAGTTGTTTCTAGGTTATATTTTGACTGTCAAATTTACCAAAGTGCAAATTTTCAACTATCTTACTATTTTTTGAAGTGCATTTTACTTATCTCTTGAGACGTGTAAGGTAAAAATAAATTTTGCTAAGAATAAATTTTGATAACTTTAAGTTCTGGACTTAGTCCTTACCTTATTTCTCTTTTCTTGATTCTGTAGAGTTTCCAATTTTTTATTTATTAAGGCAGCAATTGCTTTTGCATCTCTGGCATTTATTTGTTCTTCCCCCAAGTTTTTCTAAAATTAAAAACACTCTTATTATTTTTAAGAATTTAATCAAAACAACATTTCCTTCTAAGAAACTTGATTATGCTTTAAAGTTCTTTTGTTCTGAAAATTTAAGTGTTTGAAGTTTAAGTTTCTTCAGAGAAATAATGCTACAAAATCACAGCCCATAATGTACCTCAAATACTAATGTTAGTGCTATGGGAATGTCAAATAATTCCTTGGAAAAAATCTATCGCTGACTCCATAAACATCAGAACACTTAAATTATATAAGATATCCCTAGAGCACTGCAATTATTCTTCTCTAATAAATGAATAGCACTGACAGAACCTAGACTGATAATAATGAAGACCAGTGCATATGTCCTGGTTTTCACCTGGCCATGGCTGGAAGGTAACTAAATGCAGGGGCAAGGAACAGCTGATATATCCAGCCCTGCTTATTTTGGATCTGGAGCTACCTATCTGATGCTGGTGTGAACCCCTAACCCCGTACTATGTGCCAGGATTTTGTTTTTGTGTGTGACTGCCTATGTAGTTCATATTTCTACTTCCATCATCAGTCTTCTTTGGCCTTTCTGTCTGGCCTACACTTCTGGATGCCACCTCTGTCAGTCTGGACCAGGGACATCTGGTTCCTAACTTTGTCTTCTGGACTCCTCTGGACGTGGTAACATCTGTCCAAACAGCTCCCTCTGTGGTGAGTTAATTCTGTGACTGTTCACCATACTGATACTTTGCTAATACCATTCTACTAGAGTAAGGTCACTACCTATGTCATCCATTTCTCAGTTCTGGAAAGTGTGAAACACTGCTGTTGATTCCAAAGGAATAAAGACTCAGGCCTTAATCTCTATTGAGTTCTGCTTTCTTAAGACAGACAAATCAGGAACCCTCACTGAAAAATCTAGATGTGTGATACTTCTAGATTTCTGAAATTTATCACCTAATTTCTTTATTTAGTTCTATTTCAAAATATAACTATCAATAAACATCAGATTTTTTTTTTTTTTTCGAGACAGGCTCACTACGTTACCCTCTGTAGAATACTATGAGGTCACAACTCACAGCAACCTCAAACTCCTGGGCTTAAGCGATTATCTTGCCTCAGCTTTCCAAGTAGCTGGGACTATAGGCACCTGCCACAATACCTGGCTATTTTTTGGCTGGAGTTGTCATTGTTGTTTTAGCAGGTCTGGGCCAGGCTAGAACTCGCCACCCTTGCTGTATGTGGCTGGTGCGCTACTCACTAAGCTATGGGCCCTGAGCCTAAACATCAGATCTTAACCTGATATTTTCCCTGAAAAAGTATAAAATATTTAAAATTATTTATTTTGAATATTAAAATTCATGACAAATACTTTAGTTTATCACAGTTCTTTTTCTCCCTAACGGAAATAAGCTCATTACTTTGAAACTTATTCAGTAGTGTAAAGCATTTTGAGTAGAAATATGGTAAGTAAATATTCCAGGCAGCTGTGTGTATTACAGGGTATTCTTAGTGACCTTAATAGTCACTATAACCATGAAACATTGCTTTCACTATTTAGTTATTGTTGTTCAGCTGGCCACATCATTAAGACTAAATTGAGAATTGTGTCATCAGCTGGATTCCAGGCAGAGTACCATCCATTTACTTAAGACCATTCAAGTCTGTTTTCATCATTTTAGGTTTTATTGATCACTTATTACCATTTGTTTGGCTCTTCCATAATTGTACTTTTTCAGCATTAACCTATTAGAGTTAAGATTATCTTTTCAAGCTTACTTTTAGATAGAAATGACTACTTTTTTGTTGCTCTCTAGTGACATTAAAAGGTATGTAATTTTCTTACTCTTTCTAGGATCCTTACCAAATTGTGCAATCTCCTTAGTTCCCCTTCATTTGTTGGTTTTTTCTTTTAATTAAAAGAATCATGCCTGGCTCGGCGCCTGTAGCTCAGTGGGTAGGGTGCCAGCCACCTACACCAGAGCTGGCAAGTTAAAATCCAGCCTAGGCCTACCAAACAACAAAACAATTACAACCAAAAAATAGCCAGGCATTGTGGTGTGTGCCTGCAGTCCCAGTTACTTGGGAGGCTGAGGCAAGAGAATTACTTAAGCCCAGGAGTTTCAAGTTGCTGTGAGTTGTGATGCCATTGCACTCTACCCAGGGTGACAAAGTGAGATTCTGTCTCAAAACAAACAAACAAACAAAAAAACCTGCCTGATTGTTTTTTGCATGTTCATTTTCTTCTCATTCACTCTTTTTTTTTGCAGTTTTTGGCCGGGGCTGGGTTTGAACTTGCCACCTCCAGCATATAGGGCCAGTGCCTAACTCCTCTGAGCAACAGGTGCCGCCCCTTCTCATTCATTTTTTTACAAACCAAGTGTAAGACAAATACCAGTTCTTCTTGAAATCTCTTACCCATTCTTTAAAATGATGCCATAGTTATATTGTCAAAAAGTCTTACTTGGGAAGAGAGCAAAGGATGACAGTATCAATGAGTATAAATAGAGGTTATCTCAATTTTGTTAAAACCCACTGGAAAATTTCTAAACTTTTTAACTAAAAAAAAGCTTAGTGCCCTCAAAAGTAATTATGACTGAAACAAGGAACTTGTCTTTTTATTCTAGAGTCTAAGCCTACTAATATTCCTCACAATAAATGCTCAAATACTAAGGTTATGTAAAAGACAAATTTTAAAAGTACAGGTTAAGTATCTCTAAATTAAAAGATCTGAAATGTTCTTAAATCCTAAGTTTTTGACACTAACTTGACACTCAATGGATCATTTTTGATTTTTCTTTTTTTATTGAGATTCACTCTGTTGCCCCAGGCTAGAGTGCCAGTGTCAGCTTAGTTCATAGAAACCTCAAACTCTTGGGTACTGGCAAGCCTCCTGCCTCAGCCTCCTGAGTAACTGGGACTACAGGCACCGGTCATAATGCCCAGCTAATTTTTCTATTTTTAGCAGAGATGGGGTCTTGGTCTTGCTAGTCTTAAACTGAGTGGAAGGGTTCCTCCTGCCTCGGCCTCCTAGGGTTACAGGTGTGAGTCACTGTGCCTGGCTGCATTTTGGATTTTCAAACAGCAATGCAGACCCAGTTAAGTATAATGCAAGTGTTCCAAAATCTAAAAAAGTCCCAAACAGTATTGGTCCCAAACATTTTGAGTAAGAGGTACGCATGTAACATGTACTCATTGTATAAAAAGTGGAAAGTACATAATTCTACAGAAATTACCTTGAATCCCACCACTCAAAGATAACCACTAATACTGTGTCTCTTTCCAGTAGTTTTCATTAGTATAAAAATTTTGAGGCAAATGAGAGTATTAATAACCATAAGACAGAAAACCCTTTTAAGAACTTGATATACATAAGAAGAAGATTGTATCAGGAATATGCAATAATATAAAGAGCTTGGCTTGCTAAGGGAAGGAAGATGGAGGAAAGCCTGTACATACCTTTGCTCTTTCATAGAAATAAAACTTAACAGTTGGATAGGCTCTGATGCCAGCTTTTTGGCATATCTGGGCATAAGCCTGACAGTCTACTTTTCCGGCTTTCACTTTTCCTTTAATCATCTGAAAAAATAATATAGGTTGTCTTTCTCTCTTTGGCATAAACTGTTTTGACGATTGCAAAGAATGATATAAAACACATCAAATCTTAATATGTTAAGGGTTTTTTAATTTAAAAATTTAGTTTTAATTCTTTCTATTTGAACAAGATTGTTTCCAAATTCTTCCTAGCCCTTTAATCTCTAGCACCACCCGTCCAATAGTAAATAAACTCTTCATCTGACTGAGAAAACTGAGAAGCTTTACCCTGAACTACCTCACTTCTTCCTGCTACCTAGACCTTGCCCATCATATCATAAACATCTGTTTCTGTCTTTACCCTTTTTCCTTTCTTTGGCCTTATGTGCAATGCTGACACTCTCTGGTGCTGGCTGACTTTTTTATTTTTTTGCAGTTTTTGGCTGGGGCTGGATTTGAACCTGCCACCTCTAGCATATGGGGCCAGCACCCTATTCCTTGAGCCACAAGCGCCACCCTGACTTTCTTTTCAGTGAATAAACGTATCACAAGAAGGTGGGACCTCAATCTAATGTACACAATGCAATGGTACACTTCAAAACTATTAAGAGTAGAGTGAGGTTATGGCTATGTTAATCAGTTTGATGTTAACATTCCACATTATATATTAAATCAGGACACTGTACCTCATACATGCATTAATGTACACAATTATGATTTAAGAAAAAATTTCTTTCTGGATTGCAATGGATCCTCTAGCTACCACACTGCTTCTCTCTTTTTTTTTTGAATAGCAGTCTACTCTTTCATTGCTTCATCACCTACTTCTTTGGCAATAAATTTTAATCTGGCTTCGGTTCTTACTGCTCCTTCCCTTAAAACTGCTTAGTTCAACAATGACCTTCACTTGACCAAACTAGTGGACACCTAATGTTGTAGACCACTCCCTTCTCTTTTCTTTCTGGGTGTTTTTCACTATTCTCTCTTGGCTTCTTTACCACTCTGGTTATTCTTCCTTTTTTTTTTGAGACAGAGCCTCAAGCTGTCCCCCTGGGTAGAGTGCTATGGCATCACAGCTCACAGCAACCTCCAACTCCTAGGCTCAAGCAAGTCTCCTGCCTCAGCCTCCCAAGTAGCTGGGACCACAGGCGCCCACCACAACGCCCGGCTATTTTTGGTTGCAGCCATCACTGTTGTTTGGCGGGCCCGGGCTGGATTGGAACCCGCCACCTTAGGTGTATGTGGCTGACGCCTTAGCCACTTGAGACACAGGTGCCGAGCCTATTCTTCCTTTTTACAGCAAGAGAACTTCTTTCTTTAGATTTAATTCCCCTTCAAGTTGTAATACTCAGTCAGAATTCCTCTTTGGTCAACGATCTTTTTACTGTGAACAGTCTCTCAGCTGATTTTATATATCCATGTGGTGAAATACCCTAATCTCCCTTTGATTTCATATTTGACTATGTGTTGGTTACTTGTAGGTGAATGTCTCCTAAATACCTCAAATCTAACATGTCTAAAATTAATCCTTTCTCCTGTCTTACTCTTAGTTCAAGCCAGGAACTAAGCTTATCTTTTCTTTTCCTCATCTATCACAATCAAACATTAAATCTTGTTTGTTCTCATTTGTCCCCTTCTATCACTACTGCCCTAATCCTGGTTCAAGTTATCCTTTCTCACGTCAGGACAATTAAAATATCTTTGCTATTTCTAATTTGGTCTCCAAAGCAGGAGTTCACCAAAAGACAGACTGCTGGGACACTAGCAATGCTGTGTACATTCTGAAGGAGGTATTTAGACAGATATACTAACACTGAAGGTAAAAGATGTAAAAATATTATTTTAATAAGCTTTGTCATTTTCAAAATGTTCAGTTTACGTCTTTACTCATTAGGTGACATCATATTGTTGATAGTTCTCAAACATCTTTCTCTAACATGAATTTGATTCTCCCATGTTCTAGCTTTATTCTAATCTCATTATGGCAATTATCCTGTTGTATTATGCATATTTATTTGCATGTTATCTTTCTACTAGGTTAAAATCTCCTAAGGAGATGGAATTTCTACCTTTTCGTCTTTGTGGCCTTGGTCCCTACATAATGCATTTGATGCTTAGGATTTGCTGCATTTCTTTTCATGTTTCAAAATTTCTGGCTAGTTGTAAAACAAAGTTCCATCACAAAACTTATAACTAAGTTTCCAGTGCATAAAGAATAAGGTAGATGTTGTTATGATTTTTTTCTGTAATAATTCTAAGAGTAAGTTAGAAAAAATGTCTTATTTGAAGGACCGGTCAATAACTAAAATCTATTCCAGCATACAGAAACTTTGAAGTTCTACTGCTGCAAAATTCCCATGGTTTGGGATGCTAAATTTTTATTTTGGACTGGTGGAACTAGTGCTACCTTTCTGATGCTAATCAGTGTTTTATACTGCCAGTGGCAAGAATTCCTTGAGTTATTCAGGCAATCTGGATTAGATCACTAATAGGACTGTGAGGACAAAGACATACCCAAGAAAGGTTATACTGATGGTATGTCATCAGTATAATTTTATATGAGCATTTACTGACTTAGGCATTGGAGATATAAAGATTAATGACATAGACCTTGCCATCAAGAAGCTCAGTCTTAGGAAGAGACAGGTATGTAAAGGAATAACTAATGTGCATTTTATAGTACACTGATTAGGTGTAAGTTATCAAGGTGACACTGATTAACTGAGAAGGGCAGGGAATATAGAAGTGCCAACAGAACTGAGTTTTATAGAAAAAGAACAATACAGGTGACTAAGGTAAGGACAAGGCATTTTCGAGAGCACATGCAGCCAGTAAATGATAACGTGTTCAGATAACCTGGCATAATTTACTGTGCCTGGACTATAAAGTGAGGTGGGTGACAGCTCATATCAAAGACCTGAAGTCAGTGGATGCATATCAAGCTATAAGCCAGAGAGAACAATTATTTTAGAAAGAGCACCAGAGCAGCACTATAAAAGGGAGGCTGGGCAGGATGAGACTACAGCTGACTCTTGAACAACATGGGCTTGACTTACACAGCCCATTTATACACAGATGTTTTTCTTTTCTTAAACACCTTAAATCTGCATATAAGGAGGGCCAACTTTTTGTATTCACAGGTTCTACAGGGCCAACTCTGGAACTTACATATGCTGTATTCTAGCCAATGTAGTGTGGTCCTAGAATCAATCCCCTGCACATAGTAAAGGATGTCTGTAGTTAAAAGGTAAATATAAGTCTAGATGTGAGGTTTAAAGAGACTAGCAGTAGAAAGGGCGAGCAGATGACATTTAAGACATTTAGGAGACAGAACTGATAGGATCTAGTGACTGCTTAGAGGGCAGCAGAGTCCTGGTGGTGGTGGGGAGGGGAAGGGAAGTAGGAGATGAGTGAGAAGTAAGGTTTCTGGCTTTTACAGCTAAGTGGATGATGTCAACCAAAATGGGAAGATGTTAGCTAAAAGCTTTAATAAAGAAAGGAGAAACCAACTGCATTAGTCACATAAATGGACTAGCTTTTTTAAAATTCAGAAGAAAATTTTAAGAAAAAAGTTAAAATGTGGTAAATCTATCATTCTTGTCTATTACGAAAACATGCATGTGACTACAACTGATTTAAGTAGAAACATAAGACTTACCCTAGCCAGGAGCTCAAACTCTGGAGCAAAATTTTGGCAAGGTCCACACCAAGGAGCATAGAAGTCAACCACCCAGTGATTTTTCCCTTGTAAAACTTTCTCATTGAAAGTCTGAGGTGTTAGATCTACAGACACTTGAGGTAAAAATCTGTGGCAAGGAATCAAAGTAATTTTTAAATATACAAAACCAAACCAAACATCTAAAATGTAATAATACCACAAGACTTTCTAAGTTAAAAATAACTTAAAAGCACAGACCTATTTTCTTAAATGTAATCCTTTACTAAGGAGTTTTGAACCTTAACCCACAGCAAACTTAACTATTTCATAAAAGGGAAGTAAATAGCTTTCAATGTATTTTATATCCATTAAAATAAGACATATTTTACTTACCCTAGACCCCAGATTCTTAGGGAATAAGCATCTCTATTCCAACCATTGTAACTACTGAAAGAAGAAAAAATATGTAAAGTTGTAACAGGATTTTTTTGGTTGGTACATTCAGAAAACATTTTATTGTAGTAATTTTAAAAAAATCAAAATATTCCAAAAACCTTATGCTTCACATAGTATTTCTCTTCTCAGACACACTTAGCTACAAGTGTTATGTGGCTTCACAAATGTATTTTCTCTAGTCTTGATACCCTGTGGTACTCCACATAGACCAGTGTGTCCAGCTGCCTCCTGGATTTCTCCTACAGGCCTATGAGAAGTATACAACTCAGTGTCTGAAGCTTAAGTTTCTGAATCTTTATTCAAATTACTGCCTGTCAACTCATCCACTTTTAATGACCCATGGCAACATCTGTCTCAAAGATACAGCTTTTTGTGTTTTCTCATAGTTATGATCATTTTCTCTTTTGAGATCTGTGGCCATTTTTACTTTAATTACATTCATCACATTCTACCATAAATTTGAGTTTTCTGCCTGAAATATCACAGGCACTGAGACAGACCTGGCTTAAAGTCCCAGCTTCAAACCTTAGGAGCTGCTGACTTGGGAAAGTAATCTTAGGTCTAAGAATCAGAGTTTCTCTGTGATAGCAGGAAGAGTAATAATTCCTACTTCATGGAGTTTGTGAGAACTAGCAGAAAGAATGTGAGTAAAACATCTAGTATGGTATCTGAAACCAAGTAAGTACTTCATAAATGTTGGCTTTTCCTCTCAGCTTCTTGAATAGACTGTAAAACTGATTTAACAAGACTGTTTTTCTCTTTTTATCTCCTGACTGAAGATGAAGCTCATTAACATACTATCCGTTGGCTACTAGTATTTGTTGGATTAACTTTTATGTAGTTAGGATAACTCAAATGTTAACTGTCTAATTAAGCGATTATAATATCTCCAAATTTGAGAGAATACTTACTGATACTGATAAGCTTTATTTGATTTTGGGGGAAAAAATCTTATCTCAGGGTATCTCCGAACATTTTCTTGGGCACAAAAAGAATGATACTGTTGGCAGTCTATGCTGCCCACATTGATCAGCCCACTTAATGTCTGTAAAAGAAAGATACATATATCAAAGTGATTAGAATAAAACTACCTCCATTACTTTTCATTTATATTACAAAAATGTTAACAATGATTTTTACCACATAAAAATGGTTAAGGGTTTAACATATAATAGATCATTTATTACTAATCAATTTGAAATCTGATTTTGTAATTAAGAACTTACTATAATCATTGCAGATTGTTATTCATCTAGCATGGGAAAAATTACGTCTTTCTGAAATTCAGTGTCATTGAAAACAGCACAAAAATATATAATCTTAAACGTTAAGGTACTAGAAATCACAGCTCAAAATTTACACAGAAAATGAAAGGGGATCTTTGGGTTGATGTTGGTAAAAATTTAGTCAAAAGTAAAGCAGATGCCACTCATACACACAATAGCTATTCTACATCACTATATACCAGAGTTGGAGTTCACATGGTATGATCAGACCTGCCATTGTGTAATAAGCTAATTGTGGATTCATTCATCTCAGTTTCAAAATAATTTTGTTAACCATTCTTATTAAATGTTAGAATTTTAAACAAACTATTTTACTTTACCCGGGCCATTCTTTTCCATTCTGGCATTAAGACTTGACAGGGATGACACCACGGAGAATAAAAATCAACCATCCAGACTTCATTATGTTTTCTTTGTGTAACTAGTTCATTGAAAGTAGTGGGTGTAAGGGAGACCACTGAAGGATTCATAAGATCCTAAAGAAAATACGGGTTTATTGTAAGTATATACATAAAAAAAGAGTTGTTCATATATTCATGGCAAATAGTTGATACAGGCCAAGGATCAAATGCTTGGGATCAGAAATTGGATTTTGAAATATTTCTATATGCATAATATTTGCGTATCCATGTCCTGGGGATGGAACCCAAGTCTAAATGTGAAATTCATTTGTTTCATATATATCTTACACATATAGCCTGAAAGTAATTTTAAAAACTTTAAAAAAATTTTGTGCATGAAACACAGTTTATCTTAAGTATTTATTTGTGGGACTTTTTACTTGAGGTATCATGGTGGCACTCAGTTTCAGATTTTGGAGCATTTTAAGTTTCTGGATTTCTGGATTAGAGATGCTCAACCTTTACAAAGTTCCTGTTTTTTGGAAATCAAAAGATGCTTATGGATACATATACTTCAAGGAAATCTACAATGAATTATGTAAAAAATGAAAATAGTCCCTATTTTGTAAGCTAAGATTTTGCCCATCAGTTTTCCTTTTCTCTATTGTATCACTCAAATCATAGGCAGAGAAAAGAGGTAACTTTTAGATGATGAGGAGATAACACAGTAGTTTCATCAAGAGCTGTACTGGCTATCTATATAAGGCCATATAGTTCTGTTCTAGAAGAATGATTGGTTTGGAAATGAACCTTTAATTACAAATGGAAAGCCTACTATTTCATTTTCTGACATTCTGATTGGAGATAATGCACAAAATCTCTATAGATCACTTCTAAACATTTTAACGAAAGATAATAACAAAGAGGTTAGTTTCACTGGTAAAACAAAGCAACGCAAAACATTACTTTGGAGTAGGAGGAACAGATGAGTAGGAAAG